CCCACATTGAGGTGGTACTAAATTGTATTGACAAAATATCCCAAACTGAGTTGAGTGGATCTGAGCCAAGTAGGTGCTATGAAAAATTAGGCTTTAGTCACTGCTGTTTCAGTACCTGGAGGTACCAAGTGGTAGTTTGGGTTGCAGTAGGGCCGAAGTATCTGGACACGAGCCAGAGAGGACACAGGACTGGGCTGGACCACCAGTTCCACTGATAGCAACTGACCTGCATGACTGAACCACAAGCCTGGGAAAAGCTGCATCTGTGGGAGACATGGGAGCCTACTTATATACAAAAGTTGTGAGTGTTTCATCCTGTCCTTTCCCTAGTTTGGAATCACATAGCAGCCGTTCACCTTATAATATCCTATGATTCATTGAGTCAGGAGTCAGTGATTAAGCACAATACTTTACCTCTACTGTGTGCCGTCCGATGTCTGGAACACTGGGAAGAAGCTGCACGTGGGTTTCTGCATATATGCCGGTCATGAGAGCCAATCCAATGAGGTAACTGTCTATCGATGGTAAAGGCGCTACAGGAAGATGAATAAAACAAAATCACCTCAGTCTATTTCAAATGACATGTTTTTAAATATTTGACCTGACCCATTGAGGCATGGGCTGCACTAACAACAGATCCTTCAAGTCCTGTAAGTTGAGAGCTGGGGGCCTCTATGGTATGGACGTGTACAGTATATCCCACAGATGCACAATTACACTGAGATTTGGAGAACTTGGAGGCCGAGTCAACACCTCAATCTTGCTGTCGTACTCAAACCATTCCTGCTTTTCTTTCCAAGCTCCTTAGACCAGTCAAGAAATACTATTTCCATGAAATGGTGTGCATGGCTGGCAATAATGCTTAAGTAGGTGTTACGTGTCAAAATAACATCCACATGGATCCACAAGGATTTCCAACAGAACGTTACCCAAAGCTTCACACTGCCTTTGTCAGCTTGCCTTCAACCCATATTGCATCCTGGTGCCAGGAGTTCCCCAGGTAAGCGATGAACACATTAGTCCCTAATATATCCCACCCACTAACAATGTCATGATGATGAGAATAATCAGTGTTATTCACTTCACCTGTCAGTGGTCATAATGGCATGCTTGGTCGGTGTATATATTTGGCTTATATATGGCCAAATTATCAGCATGTTCAGTCGAGCTGTGTTTTTCTGTTTCCAGAGCTTGAGCTTTGCTTGCCCTCTGCTTTTGTTTGTTTGCCAGCTTGCCTGCCACCTGAAAACTTGCCATACTGCCTGCATTCAGTTCTTCTTCCTGCTTTCACATTCATACGAGTTTCTGGTGTCCTTTAATGAAACAAAAATCTCACCATTTACTTCCATTTCACAGATGAAATGGTATTGTCCTGCACACTGGGCCTTCCTCCACCTTCCCAGGGTTCCCAGTGCCATCTGAGTGCACTCCCCCGGATTATCATCATCTTTGTCCCACCATATTGGACTTTGTGGCTGAACAACTCCTTCCTGGTCAGAGTCCTGCAGCCATACCCACACAGTGGTTTTCCTAAAATACAAAATGTTACACGTTCTGTGTTAAAGATTAAAAACAGGCTGAAGAAGCATATCCTCCTGAGAACCAGGGTCATTATTTGTCCTCTGCAGTAGACACACAAATCACAAAAAACAAAAAGTTCTCAGGAGAATATGATATGAATGATTGTGTATATTGTTCGTCAGACTCACACTGGAAAGACATGGAGAAAGAAACTTTGAAGTTCTAGGCTGTCAGCAGCTGCTAAGTCCCCTCCCAGGGCCGTTCTGCATGAAGCCTGTGCTTCAAACCATGACACTGCCATCTCTGACAGCCAATAGCATCGTAGGCTGGTCAGGTGAACCTGACTGCCTTGCGGGCAGGGAATGTTCTCTGGAAAGCAACAGCAAAACTTAGCGAACCACATGCAAGGAGTACTTTCTTAAATAACTCATGTGAATCATATCAGTGATTAGCTTTAAATCCAGGTGAACAAAGGCATATTTGACTGGTTTTAGGAGAGAAGCACTACATGCTCCATGTGTAATGTTCTGTGTGAAATACAGTCAATTTAGTGGGACAAACATTCCTCTTTAAAAGTTCTCTGTTACAAGTAAAATGCACACATTCAAACTGTGACAAGATCATCAGCAAAACTTGAGAAAAACTTTAAACTATGAAAAATTGAAGTATCCATTAATAATAATGGATTGCATTTATATAGCGCTTTTTGAGACCCTCAAAGCGCTTTTACAATTCCACTAATCATTCACTCTCACATTCACACACTGGCGGAGGCAGCTACAGTTGTAGCCACAGC